ATGGCTACGCTTTTGGAGATATATTTTCTGACTGACCCACTTGAAGTCGTGTCTCTCTCCAGCACTGAACAAGATGATAGTCGTCTCGAACGGAAAAATCCCACGAGTGACCCATTCTGTGCCATGTTCAAATGCCACGGTCTCAGGGATAAGGGGTGTACGTGTCGGGTTACCTCACTGTATAGACTCATTGTTGCCCTTCCATGGTACCGACACCATTGAGGAAGCCGCACCTGAAGGTGGGTAGCATGGTGCAATACTGCTCGAGGGCGCAGTGAAGTCCTTGATCTTTGCACTGAGAGGTTGCAAGGTCACAGTCACAGTATTCCGGCCGGCGCTACATCGCTCACACAACTTCTGGATGTGTTCTTCTCCGGCCCTACGAGAAACGAAAATGAAACTGATTAGGACCCAGGCACGAACAGATCACCAGGAACGTAAATCAAGTGATGCCCAGGTGTTGATCCGTGCGCAATTCGAAAAATCAGGTAAAATCATGAATTAGAAATGAAGCAAAAACTTCGACGGTCACGGGAACCGAACCATCATGTGGAACGAGAGCCTTACCGGCGAGCCAACACGACATGTTTTGCCGCACGCGATCCTTCGCTTATGCTTCATAGCTCACCACCAACCCTCCACCGTACTGTACCATTACAAACTTCACCTGCTCATAAGTCACTTGTGAAATGCAGATCTATATTTGTGAATAGCATCACAGACTCTATCGATCTACCCAGTTCTCCACTCAGAATTCCATGGTAATTTGGCGGACTTCCTTGGTTAGTGGGACGCTGTAAGTTGAAACCAATGGCTATTCCCTGGAATAGTTGATACCGGAAAGGAATATCTAGGAGATGTGATCGCGAAAAAAAGGGTAAAGGTAGGATGAAGGTTTGGCTGCATTGCGACAAAGGTATTCAGAGTTCAAAAGAAGGCTACCAATCTGCGATGCTTTTAATGTTATTTTATTTGTTTTTTCCTATTTTTTTAAGTCAAACAGGTGTGAATCTGCAGCAAAATCAATTTCTTTTCTATTGTTTTCTTCGAAGTTACGAAGTACTACTAAAGCTATCTTCGGAGTTATAAGCTGAATTCGCCTCCCAACTTCTGCTATTCCAATTCCACACCAGTTCAACCAGCCGACCTTTATTGTTTCTCTTTGCGATCACATTTGCCAAAGCAGCTCT